GAATAAATTGGATTCATTAAGATTTGATATATGCGCAATGATCGTTGTAATACAAATTTATAATTATCGATATTAAAAAGTAAATTAAAAATAAATTGAGTTTCAATGATTCATGGATCGTCAGAGTATCATCGAAAAGAAAAAAAAAAAAAAAGGAAAAAAAAAAAAAGAAAAAATTAGAAATATCCTTCTCTAAATTAGATTCGTTAAAATTCGATATATCCAACGATTGTTGCAATTCTAATTTTAAATTAGATTAAATTCGTGCGCACTACATGTTTAAAATTTATGGAATCGTTATAGGATCCTTTAAAAAGAAAAAAGAAAAAAAAAAAAAACAAAAAAAATAAAAGCTTGAAACATCTTCTCGAAATTAGATTCATCAAAATTTGATATATCCAATATTATATTACAATCAAATATGATATTACAAGTAATTAAATTAAATTTGTAAATCAGATATCTAAAATGTATAGATCGTCGTAAGATTTTTTTTTTTTTTAAATAAGTCAAAATCAATTCGAAGAAGATGTTCATTAAAATGAAATATATCCAATAATTATTGAGATGAAATATAAAATTCTCAATATTACGTTGAAGCACGTAAACTGACAAACTAAATATCTAAAATATTATCTAAAACTAATGGATCAATAAATAATTTTTTCGATCGAATTATGTTCATTAAAATTTGATATAAACAGTATAATAATTTCAAACAAATTCAAATAATTCTTAATATTACGAACTTAGTTAAATAAAAATCGTACGATTTAAAACAACGAATGATATTAATTAGGATCAATAAAATTCTAATATTTTATTTGAAAGAAACGCAATGTAACAAATACATGCATATATGTACGATCATATGAAAGAGATCACGTACATATGTGGATGAATTTTAGCAAATATATGTAAATGAAACATATATATATATATATACATAAATGCACACACACACAGAAAAAGATAGACGAACGCACAAACGTACAAACAAATAACAAACACACACACACACACACGCGCGCGCGCGTACAAATATACGTACATAAATAATCTAATAGCACGAATAGAATTCAATCGGAAATTACCATATAGGATCAAAAGCGTTTCTGGTTAGTATTGTTATGGCTCTCAAAGGAACGAGAATTATCGTTATCGTCCTTTATCTAATATTTATCATGTCCTTTGGATATACCATTGAAATCCGATTAATCTACGAGCACACGAGTTACGAAATGTTAACGATTGACCGCAGAGATTATTATTTATCGATACGATACGAGACCACAGTGTTTCTACGAATGATACGCACTAGACACGCGAATAAATAATAATAATATTAATAATCATTACGATGAAAGGGGACAAAAAGAATGAAAGGACGTTAAAAGGACACGAACGATAACAAGGATGACGAATAAAACGACGACTTTAGGCATCGAGTAAATTATTTATATTGCTTTGCGTTAAACAGAATGAAAGAGAGAGAAAAAGAGAGAGAGAGAGAGAGAGGGGAGCAAGTAGGAAATGGAAGGAGTGGGGAATAGACGAATCATCGTCGTCGTCGATTTTAGTCGTCCCAAAAGAAAAACAGAAGATAATTATTGTCGGCAGTATTCGGTGAAACGTCGAAGGATACACACATATATACAACAGGACACGTTCCTTGCGAACACACATAGGACGACTCTTCTCGATCGATCGTTTTGTTCAGAGAGCTCCGTGTGCTCCTATAATTTCGTTTTGTTCGACCGTCGAAAGTTTGCCAAGTATAGTTACCTATCTCTAACTATATTCCATAGGGAGAAGGAGACGTAAGAGTAGATCGAAACATTAGAGAGAAAGAGAGAGAGAGAGAGAGAGAGAGAGAGAGAGACAGACGCTTGCACACATACATATACATGGAAGAAAACCATCTTGGATTGCTTTCTTCGTATTCGAAAAATATCCGAAGAGATATATCTGCGTTGAATTTCTAACCCTCCTCTTCTTACGTCTCGTCTTGAGACGTTACTTGATAATGGTAAAGTTATATATATATATATATATATGTATATATGTACAATAGTACGTGTGTATATATCTTATGTATCTAAGCATTTTATATATAGATATGTACGTATTTGTATGTCCGGTAATATGGTACACGTTAGTTCGCGTGAGTCACGAAATCTCGTCGTTATGTAATCATATCGAAATGATAATGATCTTTCACCGATGATGCGAATACAACGTTCTACATAACGGAGATTTTTATTTTTATGCTTTCTTTTTTCTTTCGTTTCGTTTTGTTTTCTTTTTCTTTTTCTTTCAATCATCGAAAGCGAGTATTGTATAATAATACCAACATTAACGTGCTTATATTGGATATATAGAACTAAGTAGTAAGTACTAGTTATTTACTTGTTTATTTTCTTTTTATATATATATATGTTATTTATTTATTTATTTATTTATCAATTTTATTTCTTTACTCTTCCTATTCTGATCCCGTAATTACGATGATTGACAAATTAATTAATTAAAATCTTTCGTATAGATTTTTGACGTCAGTGTATCATAGAATAGACAAGTAAAATATATTTGGATATAAATATGGAAGATATTTTTTCTCTTTCTTTTTTTTCTTTTTTTTTTTTCTTTCTTTTTTTTTGTCCCCATCTCTTCCACCGTCCGTCCACCCTTTAAATTCACGACCATTCTCAAGATATCAAAGTGTATAAAATAAACTGAGATAAGAGTAAAACTGAGAGAAATTTAACATAGGGGATGATACATAGAGCTTAGTTATATATATATATATATATATATATATATATATATATATATCTATGTATCTATGTTACATACGTATATCGGTGTAGTGGTATTACTTTCGAAATCTCGGACGATGTAAATGAACGCGAAGATGAGGTACTGTGAAGTTAAAAGGAGAATGAGAAGGAACGAATTACAAGCGTTAGTCGTTACCTAGTACGAAGAATTAGGTTGCTCAGAGAAATGGGAGAAAAAGACAGAGAGAAAGAGAAAGAGAAAGAGAGAGAGAGAGAGAGAGAGATGCAGAGAAATAAAGAGACAAAGAAATAAAGATAGAGAGATAGATAGAGAATGGTTCGTAGATAGCCTCGATTCTAAACTATATATATATATATAGGGTTGAAATTCTCTCGGAATTGCTTTAAATGACGAAAATGGACAGTACGACGGAGAAAATGAGACTAGTTAAATTGTACGATGGGAGGGGGGAAGAGGAAAGGGAATATATTGGAGTAAAATACTTTTCTGCATGTTTCAACTAACTCTTTCCTCTATTCTTTTTTTTTTCTCTTCTCTATCTCTATCTCTATCTCTCTCATCTTTCACGTCATGATGACTTGGATTATTAGAAAATATGACATATCAAAAAAAGAAAAAAAAAAAAAAACCAAATATGTCAAGCGAAATTATATATGTATGTACGTACGTATGTATGTATTTATGTATCTATGTATTTATATGTTATTTGAATAATTTTGATAATTGTTTTTTCATTTTATATTGATAGATAAAATTAATACCATGTAACTTTTCGATGTATTTTATAAAAGGTATATATATATATATATATATATATATATATATATATATATAATGAAATAAATAAATATATATATTTACATATATATGTATATACATATATATATATATACATATATATATATACATATATATATATATAAATATACGTGTAAATATTTAATATGAATTCGAGAATCGAATGAAATGTGTAAATAATCGTTTAAATCGTACCGAGCAATATGCTTCGAGTGTGAAAGCATGTGTTTACTCGAAACTCTCTTGGAAATGCTTAAACACGTAAATGCGCTAACAACGTACGGGATTATCAAAACGTGAGAAAGGACAATTTCGAGAAAGTCTGCTATTATGCGAGGAGTCTAGAATGCTCTCTCTCTCTCTCTCTCTCTCTCTCTCTCTCTCTCTCTCTCTCTCTCTTTGTCTTGAATCTCGAACGGAGGTTCGTGTTAATTCCAAGAATCATATGGAATTTCTAGTTCTATCTGTTAATAGAGATTCCAACGTTTATACTCTGATTTAGAAAGGGATATGAAATTTCAATCCTCAAAAAATAAAAAAGGAGAGAAATAAAAAGAAAGAAAGGAAAAAAATTTCGAAATCCGATAACTAATGGAATCTGTTAAAAAAAAAAAAAAAAAAAAAAAAAGAAAAAAAAGGGAAGAAAAGAAATTCGGATACAAATGTGAAAAAAATTGTCGGACAACGTTACAAATTTTTGACGCTAAAAGAGAAAAAAGAGAAAAAAAAAAGAAAAATACGTACGATAAATTTTGTCAAACGACGAATTCGTGAATCGAACATTGATGAATATAATATTAATTTCTGTAAAAAAATTAATTGTGTCTGTAAAGAAAGAAAGAAAGAAAAAACAAAACAAAACAAAACAAAAAAATAAAAAAAATAAAAAATCTGATAAAAATTTGAAAAAGATTGTTGAAAAATGTTAGAAATTTTTAACGTTGGAAAAAGAGGGATGGAGGGGAAAAAAGGAGAAGAGAAAATAAATAATGCAATAAATCAATAAATTTGATGAAACGACGAATTGAGAATTGGACATTGACGAATATAAAGTTAATATTTTGTAAGAGATTAAATTGTATCTATATTTGAAAAAGAGCAAAAAGAAAAAAAAGAAAAAAAAAAAATGAAATCAATCCAATAAAAATTTTTTGGAACAACGAATTATCGGACAAAAATGGTTAATTTTAAAAAATGGCGATTAATATTGATATAATAATAAAGATAGTAATTTTGTAAGACGAATTAATTGTACCTGATAAAGATTCGAAGAGAAGAGAAAAAAAGAAAAAAAGGAAAATTGTTAGATAACGTTCACAACTTTTGAACAAAAAATTTATATAAATACACACATACACACACACACACATATATATATATATATATATACGTATATATACCTGATGCCGTGGCAGTGATCGTGACGAAAATGATGGCGATGATGCCGAGTGTTGAGACGGTAGGCTGCATTATCCGACTTGTCATATCGACGATCCTCTCACTCGTGTTCTCTCTCTCTCTCTCTCCCTCTCTTTTTCTTCCCCTCAATCTTTCCCTCCTTCTTTTTTTTTTCTTTCTTCTTCGCTATTTCGTTCTATCTCAACCTTCAGGAACTTGCTCCATTCTTCTCTTCGTCTTTCTC